CATAGTAGTGGTCAAGAGCCGCTATTTACATCAAATTACGTAAACTACAGTTTCAAGTTGGAAAATCGCAGCTTTAATCAATTTTATTTCAGTCGTTACGCATCAGGATGTTTTATGATTTTTTTTTATTGACATGAAATTATTTAAAACAAAACTATTTATTTACTTAAATTAACTTTACTCATAAATCAGAAGAATTAGCGAACCAGCAAATATTTTCTCACTATGTTGATTTCCAGGCATGCACCTTCTGGTAATTACCTGGAGTTTCAGAGTAATGCACGAGCTCTCACGCGCACAATCTTAATCTGTTTGCGTCATAAGTAGTACGAGGGGAGACGTGTAATACCAAGTCCACCAATACAAGTATACGATAACTTCTAAAGGATTATGTTTTTGACCTCACGCTATCAACTTAAGAGTCCATTAACTACTACCACAAAATCACCATAGTCCACCACCCAACTTTCTTGAAAAATAAAACATCCCTTATCGGGCAACATTTTGCAAATATATACAATTAAGACACATTCTGAGAAATGTTAATCTCAATGATTCAAAACCTGAACTTGTCTTCTAATTCTGTAAATTATGGACATTTCCATATCACAGTAAACACAGCCACAATATTTAGTTATTAAACAAATAACTTGTTAACAACTGATAACACAAAAAAAATTGAAATATTATAAAACTGCATCATAATTTAAAAGTTCGGTAAATCACCACCAGGCGCAGTACAAAATTCTATATATTTTCGTTTGGTTTGAATTTCACGCAAAGCTACACAAGAACTATCTGCGTTAGCCGTCCCTAATTTAGCAGTGAAAGACTAGAGGGAAAGCAGCTAGTCATTACCACCACCGTCAAACTCTTGGGCTATTCTTTTATCAATGAATAGTGGGATTGACGGTCACATGTTTGGTGGGACGGGGATTTGAACCCGCGATCCTTAGATTACGAGTCAAGAGCCCTAACCACCTGGCCAAAATACGAAGAAATCTTTAAAATAGAATAATTAAAAAATATGCTTGCGGTATTTCTTACTGTCGTTTAAGTGAAAATCACACACATGCATGCGCGTCAACTTACTCCACCAAAGTGTTAGGATACCAGATGTACTTCCACAGGACCCCAAAAATGTTCTGTTTCAAGAGTAAATGAAACCAAAATTTTCTATTTCATGCTTTTGAAGTTCATATATATGTCATGCTGTTTTGTAGCCTACAAAGTGCATACTTCTCCTGCTTCATGGCATGTGCACGTTTTACTGACGTCACAACAGTACAATTGCAATGTTAAGCATCCTTTATGTGACGCCATTTTAGTGTCTACTGAATGACAGACAAAACACTACTGTATAGTGGTGTGAGTGGCCTTATGCCCCCTTTTGGGGAAATAAGTATAATCAAAGCTTTAGTATTAATATTTGTTATTAGTACATGATTGAAAGTAGCTAGTAACCATGTTATTATCAGACGAGTGTTTTAACTTTCAGTGGGTGACTAAGGAAAGAATATCCAACGAGATGTGTTGTATCCTCCTTTAGCGATGTTTTGTCAACTTCAAGTTCAGTGGTATAAACCACAGACTTGAAAGTGATTATTAATTACGAGTGTTTTAACTTTCAGCGGGTGACTAAGGAAAGAATATCCAACGAGATGTGTTGTATCCTCCTTTAGCGATGTTTTGTCAACTTCAAGTTCAGTGGTATAAACCACAGACTTGAAAGTGATTATTAATTATTATGATTACACTCTTGTCACGATACAGTTGCTTCCCAAAGTAAGATTAGCTAAATCTGAACTTTTCTCACACTGGCCTTTCAGTGTTACAGTTCACCCATATCATTCATCTAGCCAGTATAATACTTGATTATATATATCAGGTGACAGAACTAAGTTATTTTAATTACTTATCAAGACATCAAAAAATTATATCAGAAAATGATTCACAGCTCATATATTTATATTAATCTTCAACTTATTTGATACGGTATATAATGTATGGTCCATTTGGTCCTTCGAGAACGTCCTTGGACACCACCACTCGAGAGAATTAAAAATCTCAAATTTTCAGAAAATCATTCCCCCTTCCTTAAAATGTTAACTTCCACCATTACAGACAGCAACTCATTCTATCGTCCCGTAATCCACCATTACAGACAGCAACTCATTCTATCATCCCGTAATCCACCATTACAGACAGCAACTCATTCTATATGCACCCA